GGGAGAGGGGGGGTTTTTTTTTCCTTTTGGTTGGGGGGGGGGGGGGGGGGGGGGGTGGGGGGGGGGGGGGGCCGAGAGGGGCTTGGACGGGCATGTTGCACTTTGTTTTGCATTTTCATCACCACTGTTAGTGGGTTTGTTCGACAGATTTCTTGATCGTTTTTGTTTTGTTAGGTACGATTTATAATAGGAAGTAGATTGTTGTTGCTGCTGTGTGCTGCTAAAAGTGCAACCATATTACAAAAACTGTCATGGTAAACACGTTTTTCTGTTTTTATTTTAGCTATACATGTTCAGTTTGTGATTATTATTATTATTACTATAGCTCATCAAATGTCATTGAGACACACTTATGTATTTGTAAAAAAAAAAAAAAAAGAAGAAACAAACGACAAAAAAAAGCAGTTCAAAATCGGTGTGCTGACACACACACACACACACAAACACACCCAGAGGCTGCGAATGGCTGAAGTTGTATGCAGGGCGGATGTTTTTGCCCTTGCTGCAGCCAGTCATCCTCTACTTCTACAAACTCTACATGCTGGGCTGGTTACATGCTCTGGCCACGCAGTCCGGATAAGTGGTTCTTTCAAGGCTGAAATTATTTTTGTAAAGGACTGGTGTGTAAATGTACATCTGTTAAAATCTCTGTTGTTTTTATGTTTGTTTGTTTCTCATTTCTCTCGTGTATGGATTGTGTGTGCTGCTACTTCCAGATCCCAACTGGTTTTGCTTTGTTTTTCTTGTAATCAAGTTGTTCTTTTTTTTGTTTTGTTTTTTGGATTGAGGAAATATTCTTCAAAAGTCAATTTACAATTGCACTCAGAAATATTCAACCCCTAAAAGAAGCTGCACTGATGTGTGGTTGGGAGATAATTTAATAACGAATAAATATTTATTGGAACATTTTTGAGTTGTGCTGGAAGTCACACAGTTGCTTTTAGGGTCCCTGTTGGGCTGTTCCATATGTTTTAAACCTCTTTCTAATGCTCCCGATGATGTCTCTCGAAGTGTTTCTTAAAAAAAAAACAACAGTTTTGTATCTAAGACCCCTCAGGTGTGATGAAACAATCCCCTTTCTCTGCTTTTATGAAAACTTCTTCATCTCCTTTGCAATCATGTCCCAGAATTGCAACTTGCCTTCGTGGGCGGCGTGGACGTACGCATTGTTGCTGAAGCTAACGGGGAATCACAATGAAGCTCTTAATTACGGCAAACAGGCCTTGATGATGTTTCCACTTTTATTGCGCAGTCTGAGCTTCTATGACCCAAACAGCACTTCTGCAAGGAGTTGGTAATTGTGAGACTTGCCTTCAAAGCATTAAAAAAAGTTGAATCCTCCTCTCTGACAAAACTCAATTCGAATTTCTAAAATCTTCATGGGGTTTGAATAAATCTCACTGCAACTGTAACTTTTTTTTTTTACTGCTTGATTTCGTAACCTTTTTGTTTTGCATAACGCTCCATCTGTTGCATGGGGAGAGAGGACGGCATTGATGAACTGCATGTAGTAGGCTATGTCTATCAAGAACTGTTGGTATGTGCCGCAGATTTTACATAATATATGCAATGAGTTTGTCTAAACTATACAGTTTGTGTTTGTTGTATACACATATACAACATGCTGAATAAAATATTTATATAAATGCCTACTGTAATGTCAGTAACTTAATACCTAATGCAATATAGTGTGCAGTATATTATTGCACTTGTCATTTTTGAGAGGACAAAGAAAACAGAAAGGGTTGGCTCATTTAAGCATGACAAAAAAAAAAAAGGCCAAAGTAGAAATAAAACCTTTTCTTTGTGACCTCTGATTGGTCGCTTTTTCAAGTGCTGACTGAGCTCTTTTTTGGTGATGCAGCTCCCATCCCCTTCAACCATGTTTTGAAGTGACATGAGCCATCCAGCATGCCACGACTGAAATATTTATGCCCTCCACTTTGTTTCCTCCACCTTAACCTTCTCACTGCGAGGATGGTGTAGATCGACATGACGGCCAGCTTGTTTTGGGTTGATTTCCTGCGACGGAGAGGAGCATACACTATTAAAATGATTTGTTTTCAAAATATTTATATATATATATATAATATACTATACCATTGCAAGTATGCTCATTGGAGTTATGTCATGTTATATCAAAATTTGTAACCATGTATGATTAAGGTCTTCGCATTGTTTTCCATGCAAAATGTTGTGTCATGCGGCACATTTAATGTTTTATTATGAAAAAGAAATAAAAAACTTCAAAGAGTAAATCAATAAGCTTTCAAGAAATCTTTCAGTTGAATTTAGAAATTGCAATTATCTCCACTGCCACTGCATGTCTCACCAGTAGTTGCATTTTTAATGTAAAGAGCAAAAATTTATTTGATATATATATATATATATATATATATATATGTTTTTATTTTTACAACAAACCTGAATTCATTTTATCAGGGTTTTGTGGGATAGTCACAGACTTGTGAAAATAAAAATAGAGGATAAATAGTTTCAGAAATATTTTGCAATAAACATTTTTAAAATGTTGGGTGTGTTAAATACAGAGGGTACAGTTGTCCCAGGTTTGATACCTGGCCTTGGGTCATTTGCTGCATGTCTTCCCCTTCTCTCTCTTTTCCCTTCGTTCCAAGTACCATTAAATAAAAGCCACGTGAGCCTCCAAAAGTCTTTAAAAGTGTTGCATGCATTGACCCCATTTTATTCTACAATAAAATCAAGTCGCACCAAATGCGATGCTAACGGAGACCATCTGTGTGTTTCCATCTCAATATAAATTCAGCTGATCATTCGAGGTCTTAGATGTTTGATATAGAACATTAGAGGTTAAAGCAGCATCCTAAAAAACCATGGAACACAGGTTAGAGGTAAAAAAAAAAATAAATAAATAAATAAATAAATAAATAAGTTAAAAATCACAATTTTTCCTAAACAGTTTCTGGAGTTTGAACATCTGACAGAGGAAATTTTCAACCCAGGATTCAAAAATGGAAATGGCATGGCACGACTTCAAACCTACCAAGACGTGGCCATCTGCTCGAAACGGCAGGTCGGGCAAGCGGAGCATCGATCAGAAGCAGGTAAAAGGCTCGCGGAAACTCTGGAGAAGCTTCAGAGATCCATAGTTTAGCTGTGGGTCTCTGTTGACGGCGTAACTATTACACATGCGCTCAAATTTGACTGTAAATCTCAGAGTGGCAAGAAGAACGCTAATGTTAAGAGAAGGTCATAGGAAAAAACCCTGTTTACAAGCAAACATGTGGAAAAGGGAGCTGTAGAGCGTTATAAAAAAAAAAAAAATAAAAAAAAAAAACATCCTGCACTGACTTGCAGCTGTAGCTGCAGTAAAACAAAGGTCTACAAATGCATGCTCGACTTGCTTGCAGACTTTTATTTGGAAAAAAAAAAAAAACACTTCAGCACCACGTGTCATTTTCCTTCCTCTTTACAAATATATTCACTACGTTGCGGTTGATCAGTTGCTTTATATTCCAACTGAAATGCATCGAAATGTCATGTGGCAAACTGTGGAAAAAGTTCAAGGGGTGGCAGCTGAGTGCTGCCATCTCAAACAAGGAACCTCTCTCAAAGTATAATACATGAAAAGCAGCTCTGAAAACATAAACGTTTACGTTAGAATATGTTGGCTGTGTTTTTAAAACAACAATATACAGTTTTAATAAGCAAACTTTGTAACCAGTACAATTGAAGACAGAGCAATATTAGTGCATTATATTAGTGTTATGCAGATTTACATCTATATTAAGTCTTCTCTCGGTGTGCTGTCTGGTCCCGGACGCTGACGGTCCTCCTGGCGTGTCGGGACGTTTTGGAAGCTCGAGTTTTTGACCCCGGCTTAATGTTCTCCTCAGTACTCGGCTCCTACCCAGATTTCGCAGGCATTTCCTGTCCACCCGTCCCAGCAATCGCAGTTGCCGCAACTGCAAACGCCGTTCCCTGTGAGAAGATTTGAGGGGGAGAAAAAGTTACGATTTAAAAGAGACAAGCCACGACGCCTGAATTTAAACATAAGATTCATCTTTACAGACATGGATGAAGGAAGATTTTTGTCACCTAATACTAATTTAGATGCAAGATATTCACATTCACATGATATTTAATTGTACTGGTATATTGGTTGTTTTAGAGTCTTCAGCCTATTAAGAACTTCTGAATGTAGAACGCAAGTCTTTGGTTGTGAAATGTAAAATGAACAAAAACAAAACAAAAATATTAATCTGACTGGATTCTCAAACCGGTAGTCCTGATTTTTTCACAGGCACCAGTAGCTGTCAGACAGACATCCTGTGGTCAGAATCAGGAAACCTGTTGGCCTCTTGTCAAAAAGCCACAGCGACATGCAGTCCCATTCAAAACTGTTGGGCCTGCATGTCATAATCTGGAGCCTTTGATCAGTTTCAGTCGTTCTCTGAGTAAATGGCGCACGTTTTCAGTGTCTGATGTCAATACATTTCTAACAGAGTTACATTTGGGATCATTTATCAATCTTCTGTTTTGGCTGCTTTATTCATTTATTCATTCTAAAATCTGATTTGTTGATTTGCCATCCTTTTTTTCCCCAATAGAACACTGAATACTTTAACTTGGTAAGAAACATCTAATGTGGTATAATTGAGGTTATTTGCAGATTTTGCACCCTGTATGTATAGAAATGTGTCAAAAGACGTAACCATTGGAGATTTCTGGCTGATTCCCAATCAACCAGTTTGTGTAGAGCTCCGACCTTTAGATACAGCTTGTATCTGCTTTCTGTTTAATAACTATAGTAAGGCGGTCTCCAAATTGTTTCTTCTTAGACTTCTTGTCTTGACAGGATATCAGTTATTTACATTAGGAGCAAAGGTGATGCCCCTCTATCAAAATTAGAACAATGATTAGTGCTATACTAACTACTACCTGCCAGATATTCACATATATAAAATACAGCTACAAAAAAACAAATAAAACAAAACATATAAAATTGTTTCTCGCTGAGTTTTCTGGAATTTAGCAAATGGAAATAATTTCGGTAATTCTAACAAACCTAAAATAAGACTTATTTGGTCTGATTTAACTTTAGGCAGTGAGAGAAAATGAAAGAGTATTTTATTCGGTATGTGCAAACTTCTGATTTCAGCTGTATATACATAAGCATCACTCTCTTTGTGTACCGCTAAGAAAGTATAAAGTACGTTCCCTCTGAAATTTCCGGAGGAAAAAAAAAAAAAAGTTACCAGCATTTCTGAATCCATTATTCTTTGACATACAACTTGAATGCTCACAACGAAATTGAGCAACTCTGCTATATTCCTCTCCCCTTTTCTGGCTTCCACTGAAATCTAAATAACCAGGTTCAACCCAAGTCATGCAATGTTGGAGCAGCTTGAATGAACAGCCAGCACGTCAAGGCGAAGAACATTGTTTCCTTTTAAATAACTCCTTACATCTGGTGCGTTTCCTCTGGCTTCATTTTAAAACATTTCACTAAAACAGGAAGTAGCTGACTTGAAGTTTTTTTTGTTTTTTTTCCCCCCCTAAACTAACTACTCTTGTCCTGAAGAGTGTTGTGGCTAGCACAAGCTGGAATATAGTATTCTGATCTGATCTGATCTGATCTGATTCAGTCACAACTTCATCTTTAATTTTGGCCCTGTGTGGGTTAGAAAAAAAAAAAATCAGTTAATCCCAAATTGGTGCCTTAAAGTCTTGATTTAAGAAAATTCCTTATGTGTTTTATAGTCGTTTAAATAGCACAGAAACAACGGTTTATGTGCATCGTTAAAACGATCACGACTGACGTAACAACGCTTTATGTACTGTGAAAAGAACATGAAGTGTTCCTCATGTATTCACATAAACTAATCCCCATAAACAGTTTTAAGTGAATCTCATAAACTGGTTAAGCCAAAATTGTTTCCCAAAATATTTTAGACAACATATCAGATGGAAAACATTGACCCTTTTGTTACACTTACAGACACATTCAAAAAATCTGAATATTATTGTTTTTTTATGATTTTAAGCCATTAAATCCATATAATGTGTTTCATTAAAGGAAGCGCATTCTGTGGATTAATTACACATGTAATCTTTTTTTTTTTTTTTTTTTTTTTTTTTTTTAATTTTTTTTTTTTTAAATTAAACGTTTCCCTCCTTTTACCCAAAAAATTAAATTTTGG